CTACATTTATGTACCTATTCTATATCGACCTGCTACTGATGGAGCAGACATGTTCCTCTATAACGACATTCATGTACGTACATGTACCTATTCTATATCTACCTACTGGTAGAGCGACCATGTTTCTCTATAACGACCTACATGTACGTACTTATTTTATATCGACCTACTGGTAGAGAGGCCATGTTTGTCTATAATGACCTATATTTACGTACTTATTTTATATCGACCTACTGGTGGAGCGGTCATGTTTCTCTATAACAACCTACATTTATGCACCTATTTTAAATCGTCTTACTGGTTGATCGGTCATGTTTCTCTATAACGACCTACATTAACGTACCTATTTTATATCGTCCTACTGGTGAAGCGGCCATGTTTTTTATATATGTTATGTGTATATGCCCCCCTGGGGACCTAATTTGGATAATAAAACTTATCTTATCTATCTTATCTTATCTTATAACGACCCACATTTACGTACATATTTTATATCGGCCAACTGGTGGAGCCATGTTTGTCTATAACGTTCTACATTTACGTAACTATTTTATATCGACCTACTGGTTGATCGGCCATGTTTGTCTATAACGACCCACATTTACGTACCTATTTTATATCGATCTACTGGTTGATCGGCCATGTTTGTCTATAACGACCCACATTTACGTACCTATTTTATATCGATCTACTGGTTGATCGGCCATGTTTCTCTATAACAACCTACATTTACGTACCTATTTTATATCGTCTTACTGGTTGATCGGCCATGTTTCTTGATAACGACCCACATTTACGTACCTATTTTATATCGTCCTTCTGGTTGATCGGCCATGTTTTTCTATAACGACCCACATTTACGTACATATTTAATATCGACCTACTGATAGAGCGACCATTTTTCTCTATAACGACCTACATTTACGTACATATTCTATATCGACCTACTGATGGAGCGGCCATGTTTGTCTATAACGACCTACATTTACAATACCTATTTTATATCGACCTACGGGTGAAGCGGCCATGTTTCTTTCTAACGACCTACATTTACAATACCCATTTTATATCGCCCTACGGGTGGAGCGGCCATGTTTCTCTGTAACGACCTACATTTACGTACCTATTTAATATCAGCCTACTGGTGGATCGGCCATGTTTCTCTATAACGACCTACATTTACGTACCTATTTTATATCGACCTACTGGTGGAGTGGCCATGTTTCTCTATGACAACTTACATTTACGTACCTATTTTATATCGTCCTACTGGTTGATCGGCCATGTTTCTTTATAACGACCTACATTTACGTACCTATTTTATATCGACCTACTGGTGGAGAGGCCATGTTTGTCTATAATGACCTATATTTACGTACATATTTTATATTGTCCTACTGGTGGAGAGGCCATGTTTGTCTATAACGACCTACATTTACAATACCTATTTTATATCGACCTACGGGTGAAGCGGCCATTTTTCTTTTTAACGACCAACATTTACAATACCCATTTTATATCGCCCTACGGGTGGAGCGGCCATGTTTCTCTGTAACGACCTACATTTACGTACCTATTTCATATCAGCCTACTGGTGGATCGGCCATGTTTCTCTATAACGACCTACATTTACGTACCTATTTTATATCGACCTACTGGTGGAGTGGCCATGTTTCTCTATGACAACTTACATTTACGTACCTATTTTATATCGTCCTACTGGTTGATCGGCCATGTTTCTTTATAACGACCTACATTTACGAACCTATTTTATATCGACCTACTGGTGGAGACCCACATTTACGTACCTATTTTATATCGTCCTACTGGTTGATCGGCCATGTTTCTTTATAACGACACACATTTACGTACCTATTTTATATCGTCCTATTGGTTGCTCGGCCATGTTTCTCTATAACGACCTTCATTTACGTACCTATTTTATATCGTCCTGCTGGTGAAGCGGCCATGTTTCTCTATAACTCTTCATTATTTATGTTATGTGTATATGCCCCCCTGGGGACCTAATTTGGAAAATAAAACTTATCTTATCTTATAACGACCCATATTTACGTACATATTTTTATTGGCCAACTGGTGGAGTAGCAATGTTTGTCTATAACGTTCTACATTTACGTAACAATTTTATATCGACCTACTGGTTGAGTGGCCATGTTTCTCTACAACGACCCACATTTACGAACCTATTTTATATCGACCTACTGGTAGAGCAGCCATCTTTCTCTATAACGACCTACATTTACGTACCTATTTTATATCGACCTATTGGTGGAGCGGCCATGTTTGTCTATAAAGACTCACATTTACGTACCTATTTTATATCGATCTAAAGGTTGATCGGCCATGTTTGTCTATAACGATCTACATGTACGTACCTATTTTATATCGTCCTACTGGTTGATCGGCCATGTTTGTTTATAACGATCTACATGTACGTGCCTATTTTATATCGTCCTACTGGTTGATCGGCCATGTTTCTTTATAGCGACCCATATTTACGTACCTATTTTATATCGTCCTACTGGTTGATCAACCATGTTTTTCTATAACGACCTACATTTACGTACCTATTTTATATCGTCCTACTGGTGGAGCAGCCATGTTTCTCTATAACGACCCACATTTACGTACATATTTTATATCGGCCTACTGGTGGAGTGGCCATGTTTGTCTATAACGTTCTACAATTACCTACCTATTTTATATCGACCTACTGGTGGAGTGGCCATGTTTCTCTACAACTACCTACATTGACGTACCTATTTAATATCGACCTACTGGTAGAGCGGCCATGTTTCTCTATAACGACCTACATTTACGTACCTATTCTATATCGACCTACTGGTGGAGCGGCCATGTTTGTCTATAACGACCCACATTTACGTACCTATTTTATATCGTCCTACTGGTTGATCGTCCATGTTTCTCTATAACGACCTACATTTACAATACCTATTTTATATCGACCTACGGGTGGAACGGCGATGTTTCTCTTTAACGACATACATTTACAATACCTATTTTATATCGCCCTACGGGTGAAACGGCCATGTTTCTCTTTAACGACCTACATTTACGAACCTATTTCATATCAGCCCACTGGTGGATCGGCCAAAATTTCTCTATAACGACCTACATTAACGTACCTATTTTATATCGTCCTACTGGTTGATCGGCCATGTTTCTCTATAACGACCTACATTTACGTACCTATTTTATATCGACCTGCTGGTGGAGTGGCCATGTTTCTCTATGACAACCTACATTTACGTACCTATTTTATATCGTCCTACTGGTTGATCGGCCATGTTTCTCTATAACGACCTACATTTACGTAACTATTTTATATCGACCTGCTGGTGGAGTGGCCATGTTTCTCTATGACAACCTACATTTACGTACCTATTTTATATCGTCCTACTGGTTGATCGGCCATGTTTCTCTATAACGACCTACATTTACGTAAATATTTTATATCGTCCTACTGGTGGAGCGGCCATGTTTCTCTATAACAAGTAAGATTAACGATACCTATTTTATATCGTCCTACTGGTGGAGCGGCCATGTTTGTCAATAACGTTCTACATTTACGTACCTATTCTATATCGGCCTACTGGTGAAGCGGCCATGTTTATCTATAACAACCTACATTTACGTTCCTATTTTATATTGATCTACTGGTGGAGTTGCCATGTTTCTCTAAAACGACCTACATTTACGTACCTTTTTTATATCGACCTACTGGTAGAGCGGCCATGTTTCTCTATAACGACCTACATTTACGTTTCTATTTTATATCGACCTACTGGTGGGGAGGACATGTTTGTCTATAACGATCTACATTTTTCTCCCTATTTTATATCGACCTGCTGGTGGAGCGGCAATGTTTCTCTATGACAACCTACATTTACCTTTCTATTTTATATCGACCTACTGGTGGAGAGGCCATGTTTGTCTATAACGACCTACATGTAGGTACCGTTTATATATCGACCTACTGATAGAGCGGTCATGTTTCTCTATAACGACCTACATTTACGTACCTATTTTATATCGACCTGCTGGTGGAGCGGCCATGTTTCTCTATGACAACCTACATTTACGTATCTATTTTATATCTTCCTACTGGTTGATGGGCCATATTTCTCTATAACGACCTACATGTAGGTACCTATGTTATATCGTCCTACTGGTTGATCGGCCATGTTTCTCTATAACGACACCTATTTTATATCGTCCTACTAGTGGAGCGGCCATGTTTATCTATAACGTTCTACATTTACGTACCTATTTTATATCGGCCTACGGGTGGAGCGGCCATGTTTATCTTTAACGAACTACATTTACGTTCCTATTTTATATTGACCTACTGGTGGAGTTGCCATGTTTCTCTATAACGACCTACATTTACGTACCTATTTTATATCGACCTGCTGGTGGAGCGGCCATGTTTCTCTATGAAAACCTACATTTACGTATCTATTTTATATCTTCCTACTGGTTGATGGGCCATATTTCTCTATAACGACCTACATTTAGGTACCTATGTTATATCGTCCTACTGGTTGATCGGCCATGTTTCTCTATAACGACACCTATTTTATATCGTCCTACTAGTGGAGCGGCCATGTTTATCTATAACGTTCTACATTTACGTACCTATTTTATATCGGCCTACGGGTGGAGCGGCCATGTTTATCTTTAACGAACTACATTTACGTTCCTATTTTATATTGACCTACTGGTGGAGTTGCCATGTTTCTCTACAACGACCTACATTTACGTACCTATTTTATATCAACCTACTGGTGGAGAGGCCATGTTTCTCTATAACGACCTTCATTTACGCACCTATGTTATATCGACCTACTGGTGGAAAGGCTATGTTTCTCTATAACGACCTACATTTACGTACATATTTTATATCGAGCTACTGGTTGAGCGGCCATATTTCTCTATACCGTCATACATTTACTTACCTATTTTATATCGACCTAATGGTGGAGCGGCCATGTTTCTCTATAACGACCTTGTTATCAAAAATAATACCAATACAAATGTGATACAGCTTCGTTTCCACCGGCACTTGTTTGATGCTGTAACTTTCAGTACTGAAAATATACCTCAATAATATAGACTTAGTACTGATTACTACTTCTAAACTATGGTACCATTTTAGTAGCATCATTTTACAGTACGACTACTACACATTTGAATTACCGTATTTTGTACCTCGGTAGTGTAGGTATTATGAAGGTAAAAGAAAAACATAGTACTTCTTTTTTTTCACTTTTTATTTGCTGCCCTTTTTTGCGAGTTTTATTAATTCTAGGGGGTATTTTTTTTTTAAATTGTAACAATGTTATTTATGTTACAATCAACCAATAAATTGTATTGGCACAGCCATTTTAAGACGATAACGTATTCGGAATTAAGAATACGATTTAGTGAATAAGATTGAACCCGATTGGTTGATGTGTGCAGCCTGTATTTATTTTTTTATTACAAGATACTCCGTGCACTCTGCGATATTCCAAAGGCAAAATCATACAAAATAATACGTTTTCCTTAGCGAAACGAAACTGAGCAGTCTTTTCTACGCTGTGATGAGACAAATTTTGTTAGAGAAAAATTGATAGGCAAGGGAGATAAGAACAAATTACGTTAAGAAAAGCAACGGAAACCTATAGTGTTTGGACTAAACAAAAACGCTGTCCCAGGTTAGGGAGAGGGTTGAGCGCTTACAAACATGTTTAAACGCGCAACATTCTTTATGTCCCTGTTCTAATTCAGGGGCCTGTAGTTCAGTGGTTGTCGTTGGTTAATGTTTGTCATATTTGTTTTTCGTAAATTGTTTTGTTATAAATTATAAAAAAGAAGACTTGGTATGATTGTCAATGAGACAACTCTTCACAAGAGACCAAATGACACAGAAATTAACAACTATAGGTCACCGTAAGGCCTTCAACAATGACAAAGGCCGTTCCGCATAGTCAGCTATAAGAGGCCCCGAAATGACAAATGAAAAACAATTCAAACGAGAAATCTAACAGATTAATTTATGTACAAAAAAATGAACGATAAACAAATATGTAACACAATCGACAACCACTGAATTACAGGCTCCTGACTTGGGACAGGCACATACATACAGAATTAACCCAATTGTTTTCTCAATTGAATTGTTTCATATTTTTCATGTCGGGGCCTCTTATAGCCGACCATACGGTAAGGCTTTTTCTCATTGTGGCAGGCCGTACGGTTGCATATAATTGCTTACATCCACTTCAATTGAACTTTGGTGGATAGTTGTCTCATTGGCAATCATACCACATCTCCTTATTTTTATACTAATAATGTTTCTTTAATTCTAGCAAAAATTGACACTAAGTTTCTATATTTTTATACAAATAATGATTTCTCAGTAAGGACATCTCATAAGAATATTTCTTAATGACTATAAGAAACTGTACACATAAATTTTATGAGTTTAACATTAAAAATTTCATCAAAATCGGACCTCAAATAAGTATTCGCTAGTGTTTTTTAAAACAATGTGTTTGCATATAAAATAATAAGGGAGTTTCGGATTGGAGAAACACTTTTGACCTAAGACTGTAGTTTGTAATAAAAAAACGGTGCACACTCATTCTGTAAAAATAAAAAGTTGGTGTTTGATAACAAATGAGACAATTGACAATTAGCAGAGACCAATAGACGTAAATGTGACCGTTCTAGCACAAAAGAGACTACTAAATTCTGTTTACGAAATTGATAATGGAAACAGGGAATGTGTCAAAGAGACAACAACCCGACCAATGAGCAAAAACCGCCAAAAGGCACAAATAGGTCTTCAACACAGTGAGAAAAATTCCGCACCAGGAGGAGGCGGGGTTCAGCTGGCCCCTAAACAAAAATGTGTACTAGTTCATCGAAAATGGACGTCACACTAAACTCCAAAACATATAAATAAACAAAAATTTGAAAAACATATACAAGACTAAGGGAGCTACTGTTTGATTTTTATGGGGGGGGGGGGGGGGGGGGGGGGGGGGGGGTCGGGGGATGAAATTTTTAAAAAATAGGCAAGACAGGAGTTTTGAGTAAAAAAAAGGCAGGGTGAGCAACTTGGCAAAATAAAAGGCAGCAGGATGACTATTTATGCAAAAAAAGTCAGGATGAACTAAAAAAAAGGCAGCACCGAATAGAGTGAAAAAAAAAGGCAGGACAGAGATTACAACTAAAAATAAATGTAGGACAACATTTTTCATCCTAGCCCCGACCCCCCCCCCCCCCCCCTAAATAAAAATCAAATGGTAGCTCCCTAACAAAGGCCAGATTTCTTGTTAAAGTAGACATCTTTAACTTATTTTTATTGTAAGAGGGTCTGGATGGGGGAGGGCGTCCTTCATTTCTGTATTCTTTGATTTTTTAGGTCATAGTTAAGGACCCCGTTATTCCTTTTGTGGTGTATAGACATGAACACACAAAACAGTTATTTATCTGGTGCTTAGTGTTAATGTTACTTGTTTTTGTGCCTCGGAACAATCTATTGAGTCATGCCTTTTGTAACAGTTGTTGTTGGTTTATGTTTGCATATTTGTTTACCCTAATTTTCTCTATTCTTTCTTTTTTTTTTTTGCCATTTATTCAGCACATTTTACCCATTTTCTCTATTCTGTAAACCCCATCCAGACCCTCCTGTACAGTAATTATAGATTAAAAGTATCAAACCGTATTACCGGCAGATACAATATAATAGTGTTCCCGATTGCTATTTAAAAAAAAAATGGAATATTGTGTCCATGGGACACTGATACCCCCGCTTGAAAATATACAGCAAATTCTGCAATTTTTCAATTAACAAAGCGACATAACTAAAGAACAGTGAAAGCGACGCCACCAAAATTCTAACTTGATCTGTGTTTGGTGGTAATAAGCATTTAATCAAAAGTTTATTCACATTTGGTTGAGGCAAACTAAAGTTAGAGTGCGGAAACGACAAATTAAGCTATTTTTCCATGTATAAAGAGACATAACTCGAGAACGGTGAAAGTGACGCCTCCCAAATTCAAATAGATCTTTGTTTGGTGGTAATAAGCATTGTGTAAAGGTTTTATAACATGTGGTTGAGGGAAACTGAATTCAAAGAAAGGAAACTAATTTTTGGACATACGGACGATGGATAAGCGGACAAGGGTAAAACTGCATGCCCCCTTCGCCACGGCGGGGGCATACAAATTCTATTATGTACATCAGATGTGTCTGCGTTTTCGATTACCATTGCAAAACAATGGATTTTGCAATTGTGTACAGCAGTTTTTGAACTGGGTTACCTATCGCATATGCCGTACCGGTAGCTGGTTAAAACCCTAGTCAAAAAAAAAAAATACTGACTGACCTTAAAAACGCAACACATATTTTGTTGAATTTTTTTACCAAATCATATTTGATCCTCATACAACTACTATTCATGCTAACCATACTTCTTTCTCTTTAGAAAAAATCAACATCTGACTTACCTGTGGTTATTGAACATACTAGATTTATTTATTGAAGTCGCACGAATTTTGTTCAGTTTTTTTTCTTTGTGAAACAGTTCTTTCAATCCTTGGCCACACTTCATTCAGCTTAAAAATTTTGCATCTCCATATTGCCAAAACTGAGGAATAAAAAACTGAATCAGCCCATAAGAACATTGCAAACAGAAAAACGTGAACGTGCTGCAAACAGAAAAACGTGAACGTGCTGCAACCAGACAATTCGACGCCAGAAACTCTTTTACTGTCCTTCCGACAACGATACAGTTAGACGGGATTTGTTGAAGACCATCAATGACCAGATCAACACGTAGTGGCAATTCAACGTCAATAAAATTTGATTTCGCAACGTCATTTGCGAGACATGTTTACGGCCGCAACGTCAACTGCTAATCAAATTGCCGAATGCCATTGCGCACATATTTATGCCATAAATGTATTTCATAAACTGGACTGCCAAAGAATCGACTGCAGAAAAACATTTAAAGCCCTAACGTTTCAACCGCATAATTGCCAAAATCCATTGTAATGGGTGGAACAACGGCAAAATCAGAAAGTGCAAAACAGAACCCAAAACATGCCGAACAGAAGTGGTTGATAATTTTGGCGTTTGTTACATGCAGACATTGCTTTTGACGGTGACACGTTCTTTGGTAAGGGTAAAACCAGGGTTTCAGTGTATACCACATGATTTGAACATTAAAAATGACGTAATCAGTTAAACTTTCGAACTACCATTTTTTTTAAAACAATGAAGTAATGAAAGAAATTTCTGTTCATAAGTTTGTTTAACAAAAATTGCATATTTGAAAATGGGAATTAAAAAGACTAAACTAGTGTTGCGTTTTTAAAGTCGGTCAGTATATTGAATCTACAAATAAAACATTTGTTGTACGTGTCTATCAGACTTACCAAAAACGTCTTTCAAAACTCGAAATCAGGTGATTGTGATAATAATATAGAGTTTCCCCCCTTACATATTTCAATCACTAAGTTGTTTTCCACTTACGTAGATTATAAAAAACTTGTGTGAAATTCAATACACGGTATTCTTGATATTGATAAATAAAACACATTTTTTGGTTGAAGCTACATAGTGTGACCTTTCGTGGTGAAGTAGCACGCGATAGATCGTTTTAAGCTAGTTGTACTGTCTAGTTATCTATTTCATATTTGTCATACATCTAATAATTGTACATATTAAGTTGTGATGCCTTGAACATGGTTCAACATGCTTTAACATGTATAAATCATGGTATAATTGCCAATTAGAGAAAAATCTATACTCGAGAATCTATCATAGTCGAAATGACATGGATGATGTAATCAACTATATAAGTCATCTTTCGGTACGGCCTTCAACCATGAGAAAAAGCAATATCGCATACCGACATTAAAAAATGTGAAACAATTCAAACATGAAAACCAACGGCATGATTTGATTTGTGACGAATACAATAAACTAAAAACAGACATGACAGACAGCAACTAACAACATTGTTGTTTGCTTAACGTCCAGTGTCAAATGTTTCACTAATAATTGCAATACGGAGGCTCTACAAATAGGGTATTAATAGATCGAGGGTTATTTTGGATGCCTTTTGAAAATGAGGGCAGGGTGGATAAGGTCAGACTTGTCAGTGGAGTAAAACCCCTTATGCGAAGAAATTTGGATTTCTATACCCCTAGGATGGATTTTTAGAGGGGGACCTCAAACATATCCCCGCAGGTACATCGGGATATAGAAATTTGTTCCAGTTTCAGGGGCGGATCCAGCCATTTTTAAGAGGGGGTTCTAACTCAGGATATAGAGGGGGGGGGTTTCCAACCATATTTTCCCATTCTAAAGCATTGATCGTCAAAAAAAGGGGGGATTCCAACCCTCGGAACCCCCTCCGCCTGGAAAACAGCAATCCTTTCGTCTTCGGATTAATTAACTTGCCATAAATTTGCTTAGCACATGTATATAATAAGGTCTAATATTGTACTATCTACTGTTATAAGAAGACAACTGTTGTTCCTATTTTAACTCTCCTTCCCCCTTTTTTTTCCAAAAACAAATGTAATCATACTTTAGAAATAAGGATAATGTGAAATCCAAGTAATTTATTATTAGATGTTAACTCTTCATCTATTATTATACAACAAACGGTGAAACGAAAACCATGTATGGGTCAACCAAAAGCTAGAAATCGAAGAAATGCAACAAGAACCATGGCTTAAAGAACAAGACTAATACCGGGTCTGGACCCGCGTCGCTTCGTGCGATTGAAAAAGACATGTTTTCTAAAGCATGTCTGATGAAATATCAAATATAAATCATTCCCTTTCATTGAAGCCAAGAAAACTTTGTCAAACATTTTTTCTTGAACAATTAGTATTTTTTCCAACTATTGGCAAACAGGAAGTGGCAATTGCTCACACGCAACAACTTAACATTATAAAGCTTCATGCCAAATATCAAATTACTCTCTTCCATAGAAACACCAATTAAAGCCATGAAAATATTAACAAGAATTTCCGTGTACAATGGGTGTTGTAAAATTTTAAACTATCAGCAAACAGGAAGAGGCAGCACGGAAGATCTAAGAATTGCTTATATACATTACAATTAAACATTATCAATCTACAGATCGACCAAGAATAAATCTGTACTTTTTTCACAGAAGCCAAGAAAATTTTGACGAATTGTAAAGTCTCCTTTCCACGGTCTTTTTGGACGGACGGACGGAGTCGATCGGTTAGGACTAGACCTGCTTTCGCCGTTGGCGACTCGGTAAAAAATAGACAAACAGAAAAAGAACAGATCACAATCAATGTACAGGAAATTTAAAATTTAATAACACGAGCTTTAAATAAAACGTGCAGAAACCCTAAAAGGTTGATCGATCGTTGTTTTTCTTGCGTCCAGAAGAAATATTTCATGCGTTTTCGTTACGAGAACGTATGAATAATACATACAGTCGGTAGGTCCTGGGATTACTGTCGGGAAAATTCGAAAAACGTATCTACAATAAATACAGTTGGTAGGTCCTGGGATTACTGTCGGGAAAATTCGAACTGCCACAAGAAAATGAGGATATATGGGATCGGGACAGACGTTTTGCCTTGCAACAGGCCATCTACGATCCCTCAAAGGCAAGGGCCACACTCTCTCTTCACGATGCGTCGGATTTAACGTCCATATACTGACCGGATGTGGTTGCGTACTTATACACCTCGCTCAGCCAAACGGACGCCCCGCTTTGGCAAATAATTTACTGCCGGAGGGTAGAAGACATAGCAGACCATATTCCTATTCCCTAGTCACCCATGGGGACCTCAAAGGTCAGCAGTTAGCAGCCGTCGTGTAAAATAAGTGAGTTTATAATTCAAAAATATTTGTAGCAGACGTATAACAATATAGCTTTTAAATTAATTTGAATAACAAACGGTTGAAATTTTTAATATATAATCAAAGAGTTATGCAAGACATGTTCGTGAAACAACGGATCCACCAGAAGTGAAATTATGGCGAGGTTCTGTTTGTAGGGAACACGAACAAGCCATGCCCTGCCTCTACAAAATGTCCAAATTTCTGGTCTTACATCGTCCTCCGCTACAATATTGTCTATAATTACAACAGTTTCTGGTAGTAACACATCTTTTATTACGTCTACATCTAGGTCTCGCTCTTTTGTCACGACTGAAAATAAACAATTTGTACGAGTACTGAATGCTGGATTAAAATAGTGGAAATTGTAATTTTTTTTCTGTGCTCGTTTTTTTATTTTGTCATGTTTGTGTATTTGTTTGTGTGTGTGTGTGTGTGTTTGTTTGTTTTATGTCTTTATTCGTATGCCTTCAGTTATTAACAACAAAATTACAGATTTAAAACTAATTATGTAACGTTTGAAGTACAACTTATCACTCACAACTCAACAAATATAAGTTAAAACTGCAATGAACACACTTACATTGTGTAAATAAAAGATAATAAAATATATAAATTGTAGTTATTTTACAGTTTTCATCACATCGGCAATCTATTATATTTGAAGGGTTCGCCCCGCCCCCGCCCCCCTCCCCCCCCCGCCCCCCCCCCCCCCCCCCGCCCCCCTCTTCTCCCATCACCTGTCTGAACCGCTCTTGAATTCAAGCTTATTGATTCTGTTCAAATTGAGACATAACTAATTCACTTTTCGAGCTAAAGAAACCTTCAATAGAGGCCAGATTCAGTTTTATAGCATCTCCCAGTACTTAATAAAATTATATAATATTATTTTATGTTATACATGTTTCTAGTACAAAACAATTGACAATAAATCAATATGCATGTGTGTACATGTACACGGTAAAGTTTTTAATTATATAAACATGTGTATACATGTACACGGTAAAGTTTAATTATTTAAACATGTGTATACATGTACACGGTAAAGTTTAATTATATAAACATGTGTATACATGTACACGGTAAAGTTTAATTATATATACATGTGTATACATGTAAATGGTAAAGTGTTAATTATATTATTTCTGTCAGCTTTATAATTGATGAGAAAAGTGAAACATACCTCAAAATTTCGTCGCTTCTTATATCTGCATTGTTAGTCATGGCTACAAATAAAGAATATATTACATCACTCATTAAATTGACGCTCGATTTTCGGGTAGGGGAGGGGGGGGATTCGGGCGAAATGTTAATTGGTAGGTCGGATAATCTTTTTTTTAAATTTTGTACATCATTCTTTACTGCATTTCGTTTGACAGAAATATCATTTTCGTCCAGTTGGACAAGATCATTATTTGAGTACTTCTAATGCAAGGATATTCCTTTCCATATCCCCCCCTCCCAGAATGTCCCTTTATCAAACTCAGACATTTATTTCTTGCCGTACGTAAATATTCAAATTAGAAATTTTGTTTTCTTGTACCTTTTAAAACTGCCCATCTTGTTCAATGAATTTTATATTCATCGATAGCTAAATTTTATTTTGATATCCCCAAAAAAGTGAAAAGATTAATCGACCTGTTTATGCATGAACTTTTTGCCACTAGACGTTAAGACAGCAATAATTAATAAATCAATAAGAAGGGTAAATAGAAGATAATTATAGATAAGGCTTTTTTACTGCTAAATCATTTAGACAAGACAGTGATCGTTTCATTTTCTCGAGGTTTGTTATACCTGATATTACATGACATTATACCTGATATTACATGACATTATACCTGATATTACATGACATTATACCTGATATTACATGACATTATACCTGACATTATATGACATTATACCTGATAATACATGACATTATACCTGATAAACATGGTATTATACTTGATATTACAAGACATTATACATGATATTACATGACATTATACCTGATAATACATGACATTATACTTGATATTACATGTTATCATATAACTATAAATTATCTGTTTTCTCATTGGCTAAAAGCATAGAAAATCCTCTTTGATAAAACTTATATTCACTGTGGCAAAAATCACGCCAGGTTAATATAAGATTTGGAACAGCGTCCGTGTACCTTCTTTTTCTTCTTGATTTCGGTGTATTTTTTCTCTTCTACTTGTTTTCAATGTATTTTTTAGTAAATTTTTTGAATATTTCAACTTATGAAAATTAGCAACTGCTAGGAGCAGTTTTAAAAGTATCTTGATCAAATACTAGAAAATTGGAGAATGATAAAAGTCATATAATACAACAGTTGTTGACTTTTGATTTAAGTTGATACAATGATTTATCAACCCCAGATATATGACATTCACCCTCGGACTTTGGCCTCGGTGAATATCATATCTCTGGGTTGATAAATCATTGTTGGCTGAGGGTGAATGTCATATCTTTGGGGTTGATAAATCATTGTATCAACCTCATCAAAAGTCAATAATTGTATAACATTATACCTGATATTACATGACATTATATCTAATATTACATGACATTATATTTGATTATACATGACATTATGTAAGATATAAATTTGTCCTGGTAAAATATGTCCGGGCGGAAATATATTACCAGTATAAAAAGTCCATGGTTACAGAATTTACTAGTATTTTTAGTCCGACGTTAGTAATTTTCCAGGAATTCAAGTCCATGTCAGTAATATTCCTAGGTAAAAACGTCCATTTTCCTTTTTTTTTTATAGGAAACATATTAATGAATCAAATCATTTACATTTAAACAATAGAAATTTAAATGTTATGTTTTAATATTATTTAAGAGTTGTGTATTTATATTTTTTAATAAAATGTATGTCCCCAGACTAATTTTCCTAAGAATCATGTTCATTAATATTCCTAGGTAAACGCATCCATGCCCTTTATTTTAAAAGGTAGATATAGATGTTATGTTTTAATATTGTTTAAGAGTTGTGTATCAATTTTTTTAATAAAGTTTATGTCCCCCGACTAATTTTCCTAGGAAATCATGTCCATGTCATTAATATTCCTAGGTAAAAACGTCCATGCCCTTTATTTTAAAAGGTAAATATAAATGTTATGTTTTAATATTGTTAAAGAGTTGTGCATTAATATTTTAATGAAATTCATGTCCCCAGAGTAATTTTCCTAGGAAAAAAACGTCCATGTCCTTTATATTAAAAGGAAAATGTTAATGAAACAAATTAATTACATGTAAACAATGGAAATTCTATTTTTATGTTTTAATATTGTTAAAGAGTTGTGCATTAATATTTTAATGAAATTCTTGTCCCCAGACTAATTTTCCTAGGAAATCATGTTTATGTCATTAATATTCCTAGGTAAAAACGTCCATATCCTTTATTTTAAAAGGAAAAAAATAATGAAACTTTCCAATCTTAACTAAGAAAATATGTAATTTTTATAATATAATAAAAATTACTAGAAAAACAAGTCTTAGGACAATTTTTCCTAGGAAAATAAGTGCCAGGCATATTTTACTAGCTATGGACTTATTTTCCTAGGAAAATTTGTCCTGGGACTTACATTCCTAGTGAAATAATGGTCATGGACTTGATTAACTAGGAAAAAAAGTCTGGCGGACACATTTTACTACCGCACCAAATTTACTGTTACAATTATACCTGATATTACATGACATTATGCCTGATATTACATGACATTATGCCTGATATTACAAGACATTATGCCTGATATTACATGACATTATGCCTGATATTACATGACATTATGCCTGATATTACAAGACATAATGCCTGATATTACATGACATTATACCATCTCATAGATAGTTTATTTTTACATAAGGGCTCTAGGTCCTTTTTGTTTGATCAGCTTTTCAACGTTTGTATTATGTTTGGGATTTTCAAATATTTTGTCCTCGAACATCACTGAAGAGACTTTAATAGTCAAATGCGCATCTGGTGCAGTAAAACTAGTACCGTGTACAAACTTATGCTTAAAAATTTCATGACGTTAAAAAGAAATTTTAAAAAACTATAATTACTGATAAATTTAAAAACAAGTTGCTTTCTTAAAAAAAAGAAAAGCAACACGTGAACCTAAGATCGCTGGTCACCAAAAGATTGTTGCTGATTTTTTGTTTGCTTTTGAAATGAAATAATTGACTGTGAATATAAGAAGATAATGATGATGCTAAACTACCTTTATTAAAGCTATGTAATTGTGTGTACATTCTTGCGCACGTCAGTTGAAAGCAATGATCGATAGTTAAGAATAAACAAGTGTATATTTACAGCTATTATTTTAATAAAAATTTGAAAGCTCGGCTATTCTATTTATTACCTGGGAATATCCATAATTTTTTCATAACCCTTTTGCATATGGTCCGAGTACACAGTTATTTCGTAGTGCATTTCTTTTAGACAATAAATGAAAATAAAAAAAATCCCACCTGCGCTTTCTCAATAATATTTTTACAGTGTGTTGTACTACTTTTGGGACAAATTATATCAAATTATGGAAAAATTCATCGGCTCTAACTAAAAAAATGTACCATAGTACTCATATTTATATGCTATTAGGTTGAACCATTAAAACAAACAAACAACCAAAAAGAATTGAAATTGTATAATAAACATACATTCCTGCAGGTGAACTTTTTCCAAAAAATTAGAATATAATATCAATAAACACAAATGTCGAGTATTTAGTGATGGACATTGTATTTATCAAATGAATCTCTTTTTAAATATAAAAAAGAGGATGTGGTATGATTGCCAATGAGACAACTCTCCACAAGAGACCAAATAAACAGAAACTAACAACTATAAGCCACCGTAGGGCCTTCAACAAAAAGCAAAGCCCATACCGCATAGTCAGCTATAAAAGGCCCCGAAATGACAAATACTGCTATACAAAATATAAGCAAAGAGTTAAAAATACACTTAAACAGTATAAAACAATTAACATTATGATAGTTATTAATTTTGTTATAATTATTGTAAAATAATAATTACGTTTTTTGTGAGATGCAAGGATTTAAAATGCATGTGATTTGAAACGTATTTTTTATTCACGACCGTTTAAATTAGGATATTTAGCTAACTTTGGGTACGCATCCCTGCTCATTGGTGCTCATACATTACAAATAATTTTCATAAATGTAGTATGACTGTTCAAATCTGTGAGACATGATAATGCACGAATAATAAATTACAATTTTAATTATATTCTATTAAGAATAAATTCAGTCTCAGTTTAAACTTAACACTGAATATTCTCTTAGTCAGGTAGTATCTATTAATGAAATTAGATTTTTGTTTACAGAAAAATCTTTTTGTTTAATTATCTTTCTGCTTTCCGACCACATTGTTTCCGACCTAAGATAAATATTTTAACCAGATACCCGAAGGCCGCAACATGTTAGCTGCTCGATAGTCAAAAAAGGGCGTTCGTACGATGTCATTGTGGTCATGCGCCCGCCCCCTTATACTTCCGAAGCACGAGTTTCAACAGTATAAAAAAGAAAATAATGCAAACAACAAATAAATCCTGAAATGTCAGAAGCTAAAGAACTTAATTCAATGAAGTAGTACTAGTATATAATATAACAAATATATCATTAGACAATTCTTGCTATCATCTTTAGAAGTTCAATATAATTAAAAGCTTATTGTTATAACGAATGAATTACCTTGACAGATCGTAACAAGACAGAAGCATATGCTATAACGAATGACTTACCGTGACAGACCGTAGCAAGACAGAAACAGACAAGGCAGAATAGCATTAGTTTGTGCATGGTTATCTATTAACACTCAGTATGCTGTGCTCTCAAAATCAATTTTCTTTTATATGTACATGTACAGATTTTTATTTAGTTATCGCTGCACAAAAATAATTTTAAAATATAAAAAAAATCATTTAAAGAAGTACATGAATTCAGCCAGGCATATATATAAACACATTATGTCCGGATTGACAACAATCAATCCATGTAAACGACAAGACAAATGTATTGATTTTCAAAAGTTTGGGATAGACAAAACTGTGGTGGGTAAAAATATTCTGTAATTGAGAGAAACATAACAAAAGTATAGTAGAATAAAATTACCATTTAATTTGATTAAAATTTCAATACGTTTTGGATATGTGTCCATCTTTGGATACATT